GAGCCCAGGAGTTGGAGGTTGCTGTGAGCTGTGATGTCACAGCACTCTACCCAGGGGGATAGCTTGAGGCTCTCAGAAAAAAAAAAAAAAGAATGCTGCTCAGATTCCAGAGGAACATTTTAACTGATCTAACTGAAATTTTAGGAGAGATTTAGGAACACATTTTTAAAAAAATTTGTAAATTTCAGGCCCCCCCCCCAATATTTTGCTTAGCCCACAAATATCCAATTGTTCCAAAGTTTTTGTTACTCGCTCCTTTTTTCAACCTGTATTCAGCTTTATCAAAGATGCTTTTTACAGTCATGGTATTCTAGGCAGGACATGGACAGATAGTTGTCAATAGTATACAGCAGACTTTCCAACTTCCTTCTTCAGTGGATTGCCCTTGTTGGAAACCCGTATTAAACAGAGTGAAGTCTTCCTTCAGCTCCACTCTCGATTGCAGTGAGGGCTGACATTTCACCTGTAGCATGTCACTGGACAACTTGTCATCAGTCAACTCTGACTTTCAGGAAATGAAATGAAAATAGCAGAAGTATCAGTCTGAAGTCCCAGAACCTTAAAAAAAGACTGCTGCTCTTTTCAGGGACACCATCTCTATGGCATTCCTGGAACGTCCAGAATGCCTGACGCTCTCCTAACCAATTTTGGGGGGTCTGGTCCCAACAGGTGTCCAAGTTTAAGGGAGTTTAAATCTATGCTGAAGGCAGAGAGGGAGAAGAGGACATAAAAACAAGTTTCCATTTTGCCACACCACAAGGCGTTTGTATATGTCAACATTGGGGAATCCCTCCTCTGGGAACCAAGAGGAAGCCTCTCAGAACTAGAAGGGAAAGGTGTTTCTCATATCAGTCCAGCTCCAGATGCATTCTGTTAGTGGTATATGTCCCTTCCTCAAAAAAAAAAAAAAAAAAAAAGGAAAAGAAAAAAATGTTCTGGGTTCTAATAATATATACCAAAACAAAATTCTGCAATTTTTTTCAATTTTTTTTTTTTTTTGAAGGATCTCACTCTGTTGCCCTGGGTAGATTGCTCTGGCATCACAGCTCCCAGCAACTTCAGACATCTAGGCTTAAGTTACCCTCTTGCCTCAGCCTCCCAAGTAGCTGCAACTACCGGTGCACACCACAAGGCCCAGCTAGTTTTTCTATTTTTAGTAGAGACAGAGTCTCACTCTTGCTCAGGCTGGCCTTGACCTCCTGAGCTCAAACAATCCACCTGCTTCAGCCTCCCAGAGTCCTAGGATTACAGGCATGAGCCACTGTGCCTGGTCAAAATTCTGCATTTTCATAAAACTCAATTAAAAAATGGTATTCTAAATTGTACAGTCATCAGAAGCACACCGTTAGCAAAAGTGCACCCACTTCACGTGGTGTGTCCACCACTTTCACTTTCCCTACCTGGCCAGTCTGGGGATTGTTCTCAGCTCTTCTTCACACTGCTCCTCCTCTTTTTTCTAAACATTAAAGGATGAATGAAAGTTCAGGGCATAGGAGGGACAAACAGCATGATAGATCTTGAGGGGGCTCAAGGAGGAATGATGGCCCCAGGGGCTACAGACAAGGACTCAAGGTCCCCAAACTAAGCCTGACACTCCCTTCACAATGTTGCTGATTGAAATCTCCCCTGTTATCTTATACACAATAGGTTCTTCCAGCTTGAATAGGAGAAGTGTGAACTTGAGGGATTTGTTCTTTACACTGGGAAAGCAGCAGGGGGAGAATGTCAGCAGACATCACCATCCCTCATGGATGTTATAGAGTGTTTAACAGTGCCTTAGTTGAGATTTCGATTTCTGTGGCATCAGAACTGGGTTAAAAGTCTTTTTTTTTAATTGTTTGGGATTCATTGAGGGTACTAAGAATTAGATACACTGATTGATTTTGTTAGATGGCAGTCCCTCTTATAATTGTGTACTGCCCCTAAGAGGTGAGTCGTACACTGAGACCTCCTGTCCCCCTCCCACCTCCCCTCTCCCCACTTGCTCATTCCTTTACCCTGTGCCTTGTATTAGCTCATCTACTGCCTTCATGTTAGAATTGAGTACGTTGGATTCTTGCTTCTTGCTTCTTGTGATGCTTTTCTAAGAAGAATGTGTTCCACCTCCATCCAGGTTAATATAAAAGATATAAAGTCTTCATCTTTTTTTAGTGGCTGAAGAGTATTCCACAGTATACATATACCACAGCTTGTTAATTCATTGGGTTAAATGTATTAACCTGCACTGGTCCTCCAGCCCAGGACAGGAACAGCCAATCGTGATTTCTTTAATTGGCCTGATGTTCAGATTTATCCATCACCAATGGCTCTTCTGCTCCACAGGTGTTGAGCAACCTGGTGATGGAGGAACTCCTGCCAACCCTTCAGACAGACCTGCTGCCGAAAATGAAGGGAAAGAAGAACGACAGAAAGAGGGCCTGGCTCAGTGTAAGCCACAGTTTTGCTCTACAAGATGCTGCTCAAAATGAACATGCCTTTCTCTTTTTGTTTTAGAACATCTGTTGTTGTTTTTAATAATTCCTTCCCTTGGTGGAGAAATACCTACTTCGAGCCTGCTCAGTCTCACTTACACGGTGACTAATTCAAACAGACTCAAACTTTGAAAGAAAAATTAAGATGTGTGTGCAGTTGTGTTTATGTTAGGGTAGTCTGTGATGAACGCCCCTCTCTCTGCTCGATTCCATCAGCACTTGTGTTTGACAGAGCCCCGATTTATGTGTTATTTTTCCCTGTTGCAGCTCCTCGAGGAGGCTTACAACCTTGTTCAGCATCAAGTTTCGGAAGGATTAAGTGCCTTGAAGGAGGAATGCAGAACTCTGACCAAGGGCCTGGAAGGAACGATCCGTTCAGACATGGATCAGATTGTGAACTCCAAGAACTTTTTAATTGGAAAGATCAAAGGTCAGTGGAGATAATCCATGCTCCTGCTAACTCAATAAACTGTATACTTAAGGATCCACCATATAGCAAGAATACATGGTTTCAGAGGAGAACTAAACTGGGGAAATTGAAAGGAGGTGATCACAGTTGTAACAGGAGCGTGCCAGAGGAGCGGCCAAGGGCCTGGACCTTCTCATGGGAGCTTTTGGACACAAGGCAGAGGGAACTTTGCCTCTTGCCTGTGATGGCGCCCATGTATTCTGAGACTGTCCACACACCCATCACTACACTGTGATGTTCATTATGCTGAATTGTGATGGCTGCTGTCTCACCTCGGTTTGGCTGTAGGTGCTCAGAGAGCTAACCTATGTTGCCCTGGTGTACTCAAGTCTACCCAGGGCCTAATACTGTGCCTAGGACAGACTCTCACTGCCATTGAATCAATGGTTAAATGGATTTTCCTTTGGTAGGAAAGCATATCATTTTGGCGTAGAGTCACTAAATCTGGACTTTTAGCCTCAACTCCAACATTAGCCAGTCGTGTGTACTTGAGGAGGCCACTCAACTTCCATTTGCCTCAATGCTCTCCTCTGAAATCGGGGGGCCCACAAACAGCCCCCAAGATAAAGCTGGTCCACCACCTGTTGCTATATACAGTGTTCTATTGGAACACAGGTGTGCTCATGCATTTATGTATTACCTGCTGCAGCTTTTGTGCTACAACAGAATTGTGTAGTTGAAACTGAGACCTTAGAGATTGCAAAGTCACAAATATTTACTATATGACCATGGACAGAAAAAGCAGTTTGTCTATTCCCACACAACAGGCCTTAGATGGAATCCTGCAGGATAAAATTCTGTGGTTTTCTATTCTGTCCGGGGCCCTCACAACTCAACAATGCCACTCAGAGGACAAGTGTGCGGGCTCACATCTGTTTGTTTATCAGCAGTCTTCCTAGATGGGCAGTTCTCAGATTATTCACTCACTCACTATTCATTCATTAAAAAGCATCTACTAGATGCTTCCTTTCCAAGCACAAAAAGAGGAGCTTTCATGGGGAACAAGGAAGATCCAAGCTGGGCACCATGGCTCAGTGGTGAGAGCACCGGCCCTACATACCAGGGACTGTGGGGGTCAAACCTCCTCTTGGCCTGATTAAGGAAAGAGCAAAAAAACAAAAAAGGAAGATCCATTTCCTGAACTCATGAGGCTTAGAGTCTAAGAGGGGATTATCTGCTTGGTGGATTGTCCTTTGCAATTTAGATAATTCACACTGCAGCCCAGCACAGGGCCTGCTGAGAGGAGGTGAGAAGAGGCTTCACCACAACAAGGGTGGTGTGTCTGTGCACGCGGTGCTTTCCAAGGCCAGGTAGAAACTACCTTCAGAGTGTTTTTCGTTTGCTACTATCCACGCCTTTATTCCTCCATCAGCACAACTGATCTAGAGTTGAATCAGTCTGTACAACTTAAAGCTGCCAAGGCCCAACTCCTGGGCCAAAATTTCTGTGATCTGGGGCTAAGCTGGGCCTAACTTGACCCATCTCATGGTCTGAACTAAACTGTTCTCTCTTGCCTAAATCACTGTGGCTCTGGTATAGCCACTTACGATGGAAAAAAGATTTGACCCTGGAATATTACTTCTTTGCTAGAAGAAGCCTTGAAAGGAAGTAATGATCAAGTCCTTTTAAAATGAAATATCAGAAACACATTTTAATCAGGCCTCTGGTTCATCACCTTCGAAACAAAAAAGCGTACAGCAGATTGTGTTGATAATCAGATTGTTGGGTTTCAAAAATACCTGTGGAGTATTAAATGGTGATCACCCCATTTCCTCCCACGTGACTTTCTGGAGCAAAGCACCTGAGCTCTAGTTCTGCTCCACACTTACTTGTCATTCAGTAAGTATTTGCACTGCTTCTGCAGAGTACGAGGCTGGGAGAATTCAAAACAGATGACACGGTTTTATAAAAAGGAGAGGATACAAAGCATGTCCCAGATGCTGAGACAGGAGGGAAACCACAATAAATGCCCTAAGAGAGGCAGGAGTAAAGAGCCCAGTGGTTCCCAGCCTAGATATGGCTTGCATTTTGACCTCAGAGACACGGAGTGGCGTCCTCATAATGAAAGCACTGTTTCCGTGTTGGGGGATTGGAAGCCAGGATCATGCCAGCAGGCACGTGAGAGCTAATGGTTACTTCCCGGGAGCCACTTCCAGAGTTCTAAGCACTTTGAATATAATAAACTCATTTAATCCTCACCATAATCTCCAGAAGTAATTGCTCAGAGGGTCTCTATTTTACCGGTAAAAGAACTGAGGCAGAGACTCAGTAACTTGCCTGGGATTCTGGAGCCAGGGTGTGGTAGAGTCAGGTCCCACACCCAGCCCGTCTGGCCCTAGCATTTTAGGCGTCATCACTTTGTTCAAGGGCTTCCAACAGCTGCCTTCACTTCAGTAAGGTGTATGAATCTATGGGCCACAGTGCCGTGTTCATCACAACAGCATCTCAGCATGCTTGAAAAACAGCAGAGTGCACAGGAATGGAGCATGAAATGTCTTCTTCGCATAAGGGAACCCCTGCAGACCGCAGCTCAGGAAGCTGGGGCGGGGGGCGGTGTAGGGGGAGAGTCCAGAGCATTAGGCTGTCCTGAGTGAGTCAAATTTGAGCCAAGCCCTAAGATATGAGTACGATGTTTACAAATAGAGGTGGAGAGATGAAGGCACAGGTAAAGGGAACATGAAGCCCCACATGAAGTGGGGCTGGAGCACACTATGGTAAACAGGCTCAGACAGAGGGCAGAGAGGTCCAGCTTCCCCGTGGCCCTCCCATGCCTACCTCAGCTCCGCCCCACAGGTGAAATCAGCCAGCTGCTGCCCATTCCTTTTTTTCTTTTTTTTTGAGATATCACACTGTCACCCTGGGTAGAGAGTACCATGGCGTCATCATAGCTCACAGCAACCTCAAACTCTTGCCTCAGCAATCCTCTTGCCTCAGCCTCCTGACTAGTTGGGACTACAGGTGTCCACCACAACACTTAGTTAATTTCCTATTTTTAGTAGAGACAGAGTCTCTCTCTTGCTCAAGCTGTTCTTAACCTCCTGAGCACAAACAATCCACCTGTCAGAATCGCTGGAGACCAAGAGTTTGCAGTTGCTGCGAGCTGTGATGCCATGGCACAGTACCAAGGGTGATGAAGTGAGACTCTGTCTCAAAAAAAAAAAAAAAAAATCCACCTGCCTTGCCCTCCCAGAGTGCTAGGATTTCAGGCATGAACCATGGTGGCCTGCCTTGCCCAGTCTATATATAACCAATGTTCAGCATTGTTCTAAAATTTCAATTAGATGCTTCTGAAATAATTCCTCTCCTAAAGTCAATTAACTAATTATGAACTTATTCTCCATGCAAAGAATTTTACATTTTGGTATCAAGCAAGCCATTTTTAGGAGAATCATAGATTGTTTCATATTTGAGTCATACAATTGAAAACAGGTTCTTTTTTTCCCCTAATAATTCTATGACCTGTTTAGTATTTTATGTCCCAAATATTTATAAGTTGTTTGTTACATCCATAGTATTGGTCACTTCAGATTCAATCATATTGAATGAAACATTTCTGCCAGTTGAAATGAAAATGTGGCCACTGGTCACCCCATGAGCACATTAGTTACAAATGAGAACTTAAGAAACACACTTGAATTGTAGTCCTGCTTTGGCTGGGCACCTGTAGTTCAGTGGTTAGAGTACCAACCACATACATCGGGGCTGACGGGTTCAAGCCCAGCTGGGGCCTGCTAATCAATGACAACTACAACAAAAAAATAGCCAAGCGTTGTGGCAGATGCCTGTAGTCCCAGCTACTTGGGAGGCTGAGGCATGAGAATCGCTTAAGCTCAAGAGTTGGAGGTTGCTGTAAGCTGTGAAGCCATGGCACTCTACTGAGGGCAATATAGTGGGCTCTGTCTCAAAAAAGAAAAAAAACTTTTTTTTTCTTTTTTGAGACAGAGCCTCAAGCTATCCCCCTGGGTAGAGTGCCATGGCTTCACAGCTCATAGCAACCTCCAACTCCTGGGCTCAAGCAAGTCTCCTGCCTCAGCCTCCCAAGTAGCTGGGACCACAGGCACCCGCCACAATGCCCAGCTATTTTTTGGTTGCAGCCGTCATTGTTGTTTGGCAGGTCCGGGCTGGATTCGAACCCGCCACCTTAGGTGTATGTGGCTGGCGCCTTAGCCACTTGAGCCACAGGCGCCAAGCCAAGAAAAAAAACTTGAGGTCCTGCTTTTGCAGATTAGGATGTGACTTTGGTCAAGTCATCTGACACCTCCAGGCCGCCTTTCTCCCCCGCCCCGCCCCCATTTATAAAGTGAAGGGCTCGGACCCCAGTCCAGCTTCTGCTTCCCTGTTCAGTTCTGTGACACTGACAGGACTGCAGGAGCTCCCTGGATCTGCGAGTGAGCCTGCCAGTCCACAGAGCCAGCTCAGTCCTCTTCCAGCTCAGCTTCCCTCAGCACAGCACAGCTTCCAAACACAGCAGCTGATGAGAATGACCTCTGCATTGGGAAAAATGCAGTTTCTCCTGTCCCACACGCACTTAGTGGGTCAGGATCTTTGCTCTGCTCTTCCTCTCCTAAATCAGAGGGCAGTGTTCACCTCTGGAGAATGGAATTATGGTGACATTTTCCCACCCCATTGATGATTTTCTGTACTCTTTACATTTTGGTCACTAGGCACATTGTCCTTATCAGTAAAAATATTGTTTTTGTTTTGTTTTGTTTTCATCAGGAATGAGGATGGGAGTTGGGTGGGAAAGCTAAGAGGAATTTTGTTCCATTTGCCCAAGAAAAGAGTATACTTGAGTTTGTAAAAATCTCTTAGTGGGGATGGAATTATATTGACTGATTAGCTCTTAGAGGAAGAAATTAAACTTAATAAATTACGTTTTTAGAAGACTTACTGTGCATATTTAATGACAGTGATTGATAGCAGATAGGTAGATGGCCTTTTCTTCTTTGTATTAGGCATTGCGAGTTCAGAACAACCAAGCAGAAAATGCATTTTATCCCAGGGCCGAGGAAATCTTGGGCCACGGAGAGATTCTGTTTGCTCCAATGCTTTGAGAGCCCAGTGGTTTTCCTTTCTGGTGAATGCCGGCACAGGGCTGATTGTGCTAGCCTGACTTGCCCTTTGAGCTTGCCATGGCTGTTAAATGGCTCCAGGGGACACCAGCCAGCCCTGGCCTGGCTCCAGTGCCTCCAAATCCCATTTTGCCCCCAAGTCACATTTTTTTGGCTATTTCCTACCTCAGCGGTGGTGGCCCAGCCAGCAGAGAAAAGCTGTATGGAGAGCGTGCAACCGTTTTTGGCGTCCATTCTGGAGGAGCTCATGGGACCCGTAAGCTCTGGATTCAGTGAAGTACGTGCACTCTTTGAAAAAGAAGTGGATGAACTCAGCCAGAGCTTCCAGACCAGCAAAGACAGTGCCCAGCTAAAGGAGGTAGGATACGAGGCTGAGGAGTGCCCGGGCTGCCTTTTCCATCGGGCCTCATCTGCCGTTTATCCCTTCCTTTCCACCTTCTCCCTCCCCTCGTCCCTCTATTTATCTAGCCTTTCTTCTGCTCATCCAGCTACCCCGTTTATCCGTCTATTTCATCTATCCATCCACCTGATTTTCTTTTTCGTTTTGTTTGAGACAGAGTCTCACTGTGTTGCCCTTGGTAGAATGCTATGCCATCATAGCTCACAGCAACCTCTGACTCTTGGGCTTAAGCGATTCTCTTGCCTCAGCCTCCTTGAGTAGCTGATGCCCTACCACAATGCCTGGCTATTTTGGGGTTGCAGTTGTCATTGTCATTTAACAAGCCCGGGGCAGGCTTGAACCTGCCAGCTTCGCTGTATGTGGCTGACGCCCTAACCACTGAGCTATGGGTGCTGAGCCCCACCAAATTTTCTTAATTGATGGTTTTCAAATTACAAAAATAATAATATGTTTGTACAAGGGAAACAATATACTCAAATATATATGAAGGTAAAACTAACCACCACCAGTGATACCTACTAATTTTAGTCTACCCCAACTTCTGGGCCACCTCCATTCCCACCTCCCTGAATTAAGTAATATAAATAGCTTGGTATGGTTTTTCCCTATACTTTTTCTTTATTCATGCAACTATATAAGCATATATCCTCATGTAGAGAACTTTGTTGGTTTGTTTGTTTTCAAAAATACAGAGTAATGGCCGGGCACAAAGGCTCACGCCTAAAATCCTAGCACTCTGGGAGGCTGAAATGGGTGGAATGCATAAGCTCAGGCGTTCAAGACCAGCCTGAGCAAAAGTGAGACCCTGTCTCCACTAAAAATAGAAAAAAAAGTATATAGAGTCAGGACATAGACCAGTGTTTCTCAAAGTGTGGTCCCCAGACCATCATCATTGTCACCTTGGTATTAAAAATGCCAGTTCTCAGGCCCCACCACAGATCTGCTGAATCAAAAGCTGTGGGGCTGGCGCCCAGAAGTCTGTTTTAATAAGACCTTCATGTGATCCGGTACGCCCTTAAGTTTGAGAATCACCAACAAAGACATAACTGGGCAGCCTGGTTTTAAACTTGATGTCTGAGGATCATCCCTGCCAGTCAGCAGATAAAACCACATCCCTCCGCTTCTTTTTCTTTCTTATCTCTCTATGTATACGTACACATATTAAGTTGTACATAAACAGGACCATTTCACAACAGCTTTGAGGTTTCTTATTACAGACTGTTTTTTTTTTTTTTAACTTGCCTTTACTTCCCCTCCTTCCTGGACGCCACCCACCTCCCTTCGGGTAATTAGTGTTAACAACTTAGCATATGCCATTCTGTCCCTTTCCCATGCTGGTGTAGTAATAGAACACATACAGTTATTGGCTATGTTTTTACATTGCTTGGTTTAAGAAAAAAAAATTTTTTTTTTTTT